TTTATCGTTGATTTGTAAAGGGCTAAATTATTAGATTGGTATTATAAGTAGTACCAAATAACCAGATTGATATTAAAATTATCTCCAGCGACAACAAAACATTTAAACTAATATGATAAGACAAATAGGCTCAAGAATGAATTTTCCGGCCAACTTTTCTAGCGTTGTCACATGATGTTTATGTGTCATATTTATGATAACATAGCAGCTGTAGTTAGTCTAATTCAAACATTAGAAGGGTATATTTTTATATTAGTGTAAAAGCAAAGAGGGGTTTTTTTAATTTGGGAGGTTTTCCATTGCTTGAGAACATGAAATCCTTGACCACCAATTTGAAGAAAGGAGTTGTCGTACTAAAAAAAATCATCTTTTTTTACCCTAATTTGGAAATCGCTCGATCTAATGGGTTGAATGAGGCTAACTACAGTTGCCACCTTATCATAAACATATCACCTAAGCACATGTAGAAGATTACTCGAGTAGTCGTCGGAAAATTTATTTTTGGGTCTATTTGTTTCATCGTGCAAATTTAAATATATTATTGTTGCCGGAAATAATTTTAATACCTTGTTGGTCATGGGTTACTTCTCTTAATGCAAATCTAGTAATTTAGCTATTAGTAATGCTATGATGTGCTCTATCATTATTAAATAATTTTGCTTAAAATTAGGGTAAATTATAAGAGGACCCCTCACTTTAAAAGTTTGAGCAGAAAAACCTTTCATCTATGGCCATTAATGAAACATTAATTTATATCTGTTAGAGAATTTGTTTTTCAAATGTCTAGATAGATATTTGTACTTGAGCAGACATTTATAATTATCAAAAAATTTATTTCACAGATTTTCAAATATTGGAAAGAAAGAAAATAGAGGAAACAAAATATAGTTTTTGGATAAAGTTAATCTTTTTGTTATCATCCTAATAATTTTGCATCCTGACATTTTCCCAATAAGTTTGAAGAACTTAATTAGTTATTGGGGTAATTAAATATTAGTCTTTAAATCTTCTTTAATTACTAAAAAATCCCTCAAATCTCAAATTTACCAAAAAGTCCCTCAAATCTTTATTTTTCTTGCAAAATTGTCCGTCTGGTTAGGTGAAGTTATTAGTTAGTGTAAATTTCCATTAACTTAAATGAAAGTGCATAAATTCCCATTATACCTCCCATATTTTTCGTAATACCACCATCTCATACTCACCAACCCATTTGATAATGGGTTGATGATGAGTTTATACCCGAAACTTGCAGCTCAAAACCCAACTACTCTTATTCTTCAACGGTCATAGCATTCCTAAAATGCGAATCAAAACTATTCTGATGGTTAAATTTCCTTCTAAAGGCTATATAATCTTAGAAATTCTTCACTTCAGCTCCTCTAACTTAGGGGCACTTGGGTAACTTTACATGTTGGATTAAGGCTTAACCTGACTACAATTAGAAATTTTAACAGAATTTCTAACGAAAGGTCGATTTGGTAATAAAAGTAAAGATTTGAGGGACTTGTTGGCAAATACTAACATTTGAGGGATTTTTGGCAATTAAAAAATTTAAGGGACTAATATTCAATTAACCCTTAGTTATAAAACTAACAGTTTTATTAATGATCACATATGATGTCTTTTTTTGTTGACTTTCTAGATGATGATGTTTCTTAGCAGACAAGGTATATATAAAAGGGTGTTTCTAGTAAATTATCCTAAAATTAGATAGATTTATTTTCTTAATCTGTAACAGTTGATAAGGTGAAGCCAAAGTTGGACTAACCTTAGGATATTGAAGTGCAAATTACTCTTTGAAAACGGTTAATTGAAGAAAGATGTGTTGGAGTTGTAACTTAAAACTTGGGTTTGTAGAGGAAAAGAGGAAAACTTTAGTCCCACATTGAAAAAGAGATGGGAAGATAGGCTCTTTATAACCCTTCTTTTTCTCTTCTATGCCTAGAAGAAAATAAAGGTTATGCTCTACCCCACACATACGCGTGCCGGTCGTGCCGGGCTAGTGTTCGGGTCGGGTGGCGCGCGCACACGACCTGCGGACACGAATGCAGCTCCGGATTAATGAGTTCTTAATATACTACATTTTTATTTTTGAACAACGCGCACACGACCCGCGGACACGAATACAGCTCCGGATTAATGAGTTCTTAATATGCTACATTTTTATTTTTGAACAATTAAAAAATATGATAAACATTTTGTAACGGTTAGGATTAAATATTTTGTAACTGCTATAATTAAAATACCGCGGATTTATGGATCTAAATGACAGAAAACAGCTAACATTAATACATTAATGGGCGAGTAATTAAAACGTGTTAATTGCGGGATTTATGAATAACGGCTGTTTTAACCTTATAAAAGGACCTAAACCCAAAGAGTTTTACACAGTGTGAAAAACACAAAACTTCTTCTTCTCTGCTCTATACTTGCTATTATATTCTGCTGGTTCCCTGAAAGTCTAGAAGAGTTCGCAAAGCCTTCTTGAAGCTCGTGCCGATGAGAAGGAGGTCGCCTGACCGAGGGTCGTTGTATCTCCAGAAACTTTTGCCGCGTAACCCTGTACGAGAGGGGACAATTAGATTCTTGGGACAGTGCTTGCACGCCTCGACCATCAGGCCGTATTTCTAACCCTCATTTCTTTTCGTTTGAATTATTTCTTACATCTGTGTTACAATATTAATTCATTATTATCTAAAAATTATTAACTGCATTTCATGCTAATTATTGTCTAAACAGCTTATATTCCCAACAAGATGCTTGTAGACCGTCATGTAGTTCTAGCTGTGCGAATAAACTCTCAAGTGCTAATTTTTTATGATTCTTAAAGGAGTCAAGAAAGTTCACGGGGTTTTATTGACACTTGGGCAAATACTAAGGTTTATTCCCCGAACAAAACTATGAAACTATGCAATCAAGTGCTAAGGATGTCAGTTCGCCCAAATAGAACTACGAGGTTCAAAGGGTGTTTGAGAAGGCTTATTTTTTAAAATTTATTAGTTATATTGATTTTTAATGGTTTTTGATTTTTTTGATAAAAAACTATAAAAATTATTTGAATAGAATAGTAATTTGCTTCGTCACATTTGGTTTTTTAAGTGAGCTTATAAGCTAGTTTTTTTAAAATTAGACTATACTAGCTTTTTAAAATTGGACTTATAAGCTAATTTATTTAACATTTTACCAAACAAGTAGAAATAAAAAGCTTCGTTTGGATACCATAGTGTTTTGCTTATTATGTTTTCGTAAAAAAACACCATGGTGTTGTGTTTTCTCTTAAAATGTTTTTAAAATACCATGTTAAGTATTTTTTATCAACACTAGTTTGACTCATTATAACATTAGTATTAAACATATTATTAATATATTATATATTAATTATAATAAAATATATTGTAAATAAAATATTTTAATATTTAGTTTACATTATTATAGTATTATAAATATTAAATGTAATGCAATATAATATTGTATAATATATTATAATATTATATTGTATTTTAATGAGTTATATTATATTATAATTATTACATATTATTTTTAAATAATTATATATTTAATTGTTTTGGTATATCAAATTGTTATTGTTGTATATTATATTAATATTTTTATAATAATGTTATTTTATTATTAATATAATATTATACTATTATTAATATAATAAAATATTATTAATAATGTTACTATTATGTTATTACTAGTATGTTATTAATAAATTAATATGTTATAAATATTTTAATATTATATAATATATTATAATTTTTAATATGTTAGAGTTTATTAATAGTACTTTAATAATATATTAGTATTTATGATATAAATAAATATTATTATATTATAAATNTTTATAAAATTTATATATTAAAAGTAAAAATATAATAATATTATAGTGATTATACTATTGTATAGTATATTATTATATCATTATTATATTATTATTTATTATCAATAACTTTTTATTATTTTTATTAGTTTATTTATATTTTATTATTATTTATTTATTATATAATACTTTATTAACATATTCAATATTGGTATTTAATATGTTATTATATTATTATATAAGATATTTTATTTATTATATATTTAATAAATATTACTAATATATTAAATTAACTATAGTATAGTATAATATAATAAGGATGTTGATAATAACTCTATATTAATTACATTTAATATATTATATTAGATATTATATTAACACGTTCTCAAACTCAAAACCAAAACATCAAACTTAAAACACATTTTTGAAATAAGTGTTGTGTTTTTTGTTTGATGATGGTTTAGCTCAAAAAACATCATGGTTCCAAAATGCATGATGATTTGTTTTTGATAAAAATATCATGAAAATAAGTAAAACATTATGGTATCCAAACGGAGCCTTAACTTAAAAGCTTGTTTGACGGAAAAATAAGCCTCCCAAAATACCCTCAATCGGGCAACTGTGCGAAACTGCAGGGGGTCTATCAGATATTAGCCCTTTAAAAAATACAAATGATTTTTCTCTCGAAATTTCGCTCCCCTCTTCCTCCTCCGAGTAAATCTCGAATTTTTCGAATTATTCGCGACGAGCAGGAGGAGCTAGGGCTTCCGATGGGTCGATACTTCCCTTCAATCTCGTCTCCATCGCCACTGCCTCCGGCCGCAGCGTCGTTTGCTCTCAGAGAGGCGCCGTGCAGCTGCTGCGACAAAGTCAACGGCTCGCTGCAGTGGCAAGACTGGATCTTTTCGTTTCTGCGAACGATCCTCTCCGGCCTCATTTCGACCGTTGTCTCTCGTAATCTCTCCCCCGCCCCCCCCCCCCCCTTCTCTTCAATTTTGCGCTCCAGATTTTGCGCCCTGAATTTTCTTGCTTTGAGATCGAGCGTTTAGTGTTAAATAGAAAACTTTGGGGAGGGAAATTTGCTAGTGAGCGGGATCATAAATTTTTTTCTTCCAAACTAAACTTGGTCTGTTAGTGCCTTATCAGGGGGCCCTACCGGGGGGGGGGGGGGGTGGTAAAGAATTTTGGAAAGTCAACATTTTGTACTCATGCAGCTGTTACAGTGACCTTGGATTTTGTAATTTAAATGCTTGCTTTTTTGTTATTTGCAAAGCCAATCAATTAGTAATTCAGAATCGAGGAGTGACCAACTTTAGTGTGAAGAAATTTTTCTTTACAACATTTAGTGCGAAAAAAGATAAATAAAATTGAAGCAATGGCTACATAAGCAATACCATTCGTGTTATAAGTGGGAAGAACGTAAAATTAAAGGAACCACGACATAGAATGCATTTCATAATGATTTCTTACCTCGATAACTAGACATTATTAGCATGGGTAGATATGGGTAAGCATGAAAAGGGCATATCATTATGGTAATTGCTTAATCCAATCATGACATGATGCTCACTAAAAGATATTACATATAATGAGCTGCAAGTGCACGGAATCCTATCATTTTCTGTACTGTTTTTGTATTTTTGGCAGATACGACTGGTTATAATCGAATGTAGAGTACCTGAGTATGGATGGACGACGCAAAAGGTCTTTCACTTATTAAATTTTCTTGTAAATGGGGGTCTGTATCCATCTTTACTCTGTAGTATAGAATCCTTCTGTAGTGATGCCATCCACTTGTATTAACGTCTGTCTTTCTTTTGCAGTTCGATCAGTTGTTTTCATATTTCATCGGGATGTGCATCAAATGAAGCCAGAGGTCAGCGTCTTCTCTTCCCCTGATGATGGGCATGAGTTTACTGATCAAATTGAATCAGACCTTGCATATAACCCTTTCAGATTGTCTATCATGTTCTTCTTGATTTGACCTCTCTTGCATTCTTGACAACGTATGCGCTCTTGGTGCTGTTTTGGGCAGAAATATATTATCAGGTAATGTTTGGTGTTTTCGCTTGCCATTCTTGTTGTTGGCCAGAATATATATCTTCATTTTCTTTCCAATGAAGCTAAATTAATTGCAGGCACGTGGTGTCTCTACCGATGGACTTAGACCAAGCTTCTATACAATAAATGCTTTGGTTTATGCTGTACAGGTAAAGCTCTTAGTTAAGTCCTTTATATTAAGCTGTAGGATTGTAATTCATGAGTTAGTTGTGGGTTATGATGGTAAGAACAGGGGCCGTGTATGTTGGACTGTCAGCAGTCAAATGAATTTGTCATTGTTATGCATTAACTGCTTGTACTGTGACTGCTGGTGGAAGAATAGCATGTCACATACTTGATTTCTTGCCTGTGTGAGAAAATCATTTGGTTGTGTAACTAGTTTTCATATTGACACCTCTGGATATACTTGATCTGTGTATTGAATGATGCAATGTCAAATTGTAATGTGATTTTTAATTAAATTGGTAACTAGGCAGAAAACGGGCTTCATATGGAAATCAATAAATATATCATGTTCTACACACAAAAGGTGAAATATGCAATTCTTCTAGAAATATAACAGTTGCAGATGTAAATGTAAACATGGTGGTTATACTTTTGATTGACCTTTTTAGCGTTGGAGTTCAATAATGTGATGGCAGATGATAGGGTTCAAATGAACTAGAGTAGTTATCAAATTATGCGGAAGGAGCACAGATTTTGGTTACTTTAAGTTTGAACCAAGAGAAAAAAAAAACCAGAGGCACAAAAAAAAGGGATAACCAAGAATGGAGTCTTAAATAATTTTGTTTTCTTCCCTCGTCTTAAGTTTATTAGTTTGTATTTGGTACTAACTTCTAAGCTTTTAAAGGAATGATTATTATCATCTATGAAGTACTTTGAGCATTACATCTTTCATTCCGTACTACACGACTTTTAGAAAATGCTTTAAGCTCAAGGGTATTAAGAGGTGTGCATAATCATATAAAGTCTCTTACATGTTGTGCACACACACTATCCGTTTTTACTTAAACATATGGATGTTTGGTGTCCGTATCTGTTTAAAATGTGAATACAGCAAGGATAGTCCTCAGCTGTTTGAATATCTGGTAGTTAAAAACGTGTCATTATCTGTCAAATAAATGTATATACTTGACCTGTGAATTGAACTAGAGTTGTTAATGAATTACGCTGAAGGAAAAGGCCTGAAAACTTTGATGTCCTTAAGTTTGGACCAAGAGGAAAAACAAGAGAAGCAATAATAACTGGATAACCAAGAAGGATGTCTTTAATGATTTTATTTTTTCACCCTATAGTTCATTCAGTTTGTTGTTTGTATAATGGTCCTAATTTTAAAGCTGAATACTGGTATCATCTAGGAATTCCTTTGTATTATGGTACAAATTTTAAAGCTGAATACTGGTATCATCTAGGAATTCCTTTAAGGGCAGCGTCTTTCATTCCGTACTAGCAATTATGTTGTGTAGGTATGACAATGCTGGAAATTGCTTAGCATTCTCTTGATGTGCTCAAGTCAATGTTGAATATTATTTTATTTATAAGAGCAGCTGTAATTTGATAGTTGGTAGGTCAGAATCCTTTTTACCTAGAATTACTTTCCATGCCCTTTTCCATGTGCAAATAATTTTCTCTTGGTATTCATTTGCATTATTATATCAAGGCCAGGTGAAATTTCGTGTTCTGGTTTCAGAACAAGTTTGTTTATCTAGTTTTTCCTTTGATTGTCGGAACAGATAGCTTTATGGTTTTTTCTTTGGTGGAAGCCCCTCCAGGCTGTGCTTGTCCTGTCCAAGATGTTCTTTGCAGGTATGTTCGTTGTCAAAAGGAAGTTCTGTCAAGTTGCTGTTTTACTGAGACATGTATTTAGATGATCCTGTTACATTTGAATGCTTATATGGCAGGTGTCTCATTGTTCGCGTCCCTTGTCTTCCTACTTTATGGGGGAAGGTAAGCTTAAACCTCATGTCCCACTTTCAATTCCAATTGATTACAACATTCTGAGGACAAGATGTAGCTTCTTTTTGTTACTAATTTGAACATTGATAATGTTCTTGCATTTTTGACAATCACAGTTTTGCAAAATAACGCATTACTGTTCGTGCAGTGCATGAAAATATATACAAGTCCTGCAGACAGCCCTTTTTTCTTTAACTGAAATTGCTTCTGAAGGGACCACTTCAATTACCTATGAATTCTGATCACCATCCAAAAATCCCAACACTAATATCAATTATGGCAAACTGAAGCCCCATCTTTTACCGGATTCAAACCTTGTGATTGAAATATTGTTCAGAAACACATTACTGATATTCGTCCTTATGTTGTTCTCCCAAATTGGCCTAATTAAGCTTCTTAATTTCCCTTGTAGAAGTCTTAATTCAAAAAGGCCTCCCCAGTCACAAACCTTTGCTTGTCATATACATTAGTAAACACAACATGTTGCATATTGAAGTGGGAAAGAACACCATTGACATTATGAGGCATGCTTGAGTTCCAGGTGGCATATTGCATTTTTGGTTTTTTATTTGGGTTTCTTCTTCTTTCTTTTTTGAATTTTGGTATGCCTTGAGCGTGTACGTGCATAGTTTATGTTAGTACATGTATTCAAAGTTTCATGTGTGTGGTCCTACTGGGTAAATTGCGTTCTTTATTATCATTATTTGTGACTATTGGCAGGCTCTTCCTAATGTTACGACAGTTCCCTGTTGAATCAAGAGGAAGAGACAGGAAGCTACAAGAAGTATCGTCTAGATCTTTTGGTTGACAAAGTTTTGCGCTTCCAATTACTTCAATTTTGGAAGAAATGTTTACTTATATTTACTTTTTTTCCAGGTTGGCTATGTGACTATCATATGCTTCACTTGTTTCTTGATCAGGTGTATTATGGTATGCTTGATAGTCTAACATATGCTATGTTGCAGTACTATTCCCGTTGTCCTTAATGGTGATTGTGCTAGTCTATTTTAATCTTGCAGGTGTGCTTCGATGCATTTGACAAAGCTGCAAACCTAGATCTTCTGAACCATCCAATTCTCGACTTCATTTACTACTTGGTATTTTTGTTCTCTCTTATAGCAATTAGAATAAAAATATTTCACTGTTTACTGTCCGAATGCTTGGAATAGGGTTGGTAGTTGGCAAGTTCATTTTGTTACTGTGGATCATACTCGTATGCATAGGTTAGGTTGTAGTTCCATAGTTATTGGTGTTAAAATTCCATTTATAAGCATAATGTCATGCGCTATTCAAGCTTTAGCTTTCTTTGGTTCACCAATTAGAAAATTTGAGTAGCCTAGAACGCTTGATATGCCCCTCTACTTCCAGGACCTATAGATGCTACTAACCATCCATTGAAATAACTTAGCGAAATGCTATCAGATGCTGGCCTGACCTATAACAGTTTCAGTAATATGAGATTTCAATTTGTGAGCACTATTTTTTTTCTCATCATTAATAATAATATTCTTAAATACTTGCAGTTGGTTGAAATTCTTCCTTCATCTCTTGTGCTTTTCATCCTGAGGAAACTTCCGCCGAAACATGGGATCACTCAGTACCACCCCATCCAGTGATTCAAGCACTTGGGTCGATGGTGGTCTTTTGAAAGACAACTTTTTCAAGAATTATTTGTCATCGGGAGAGATCAAAGTAAAAATGGAGGATGTGATCTCGTCGGCATGGCAAGGTTGCGTGAGAGGTTGGTTTGTGTATAACATATTTCTTTACCACAGCGATGTTTTTCTCGGATTAAGCCTATTTGAGTGCATATTGTAGAGCTATTATGGTGTGAGCTTAAAAGCAGCAGGTTTGAGCTATTCTTAAAGCTGTTTTTCCCCCTTCAGCGGGTTCGAGCTATTCTTTTTTGTTTTGAGTTTGTGAGCTCAGTCGGTCAGTTCTTCAATTGTACCTGCCTACCAGAATGCTGAGTCTTGTGTAAGTTTTATTACTGTGTGTTATTGTATTTATAAAGAAAGGATTGTTTAAATGTGGATCGTTGATGGTAACTGCAGATACCAACGTTACTCGTATATAAGCAACAAGCGGAAAACTCCGTCGTCTTCTTAAAAAGGTACGCATGAATCTCATAAATTAGAAGACACCAGCATAATCCCTCAGTGAGCCACGGTTACCTAACCGAGATTGCACGACATAAAGGTGAAAAAATCCGCAATCAAACAGGCTCAGAAACACTTGCAGCGGACGACGGAGGAGCTGTGTTCATCATACTCTCCCTTTAGAGACCCACATCCGCAGGAAGGCGCTGGGGGAGGCGAGGACTGGACCTCCGAGCCAGGCACCGTACTTCCTCTCAGGTGGAGCCACGACCTTAATCTTCATGCTGCTCGGAGCGAGAGGAGCAGTGATTTCTCTGGTTATACGATCATCAGTGCCGGGGGACATAGTTGAACGAACCCCCGCTAAGCACAATGTCACCATCCCTCACCACGTCCCGCTCATCGGGTGCGGTGAACATGTATCCTACCTTGGCGAGCGTCTTCGTAAGAGAGTTAGTGGCGTCACGGCCAGCAAGGTCCAAACGAAGGACAGCATCAGGGAGCGCATATCCCAGTTGCTGATAATCCCCTTGCTCTATAATGCTTGGAAATATTGCTCTAGGTGCATCATCACCCGCAAATCCGATCTTGACCGTTCCGGTTCCATTGTCACAGTCAAGAGGTTGCAAATCCTCGGCGTCCGCCATTTTCTGCTTATCTTATTATTATTATTATTATTATTATTATTATTATTATTTTGAGACGAAGGCCAAAACTTCGAATCCACAAAGTTATAGAAAAGAAAATTTAATTGAAGAAAAGTTATCTTTTTATAGTGTTGACAGTTGTTCTTCTTAAATGGAAGAACAAAGTCTACTCTAAATAAGAATAAAATTCTACCTAAAAGATTCTCTATAATAGAGGAAATAAATCAGTCTAAATTGGAACAAAATTGATTTTATTTTCTAATCTAAATTGACTCTAACTTTATTACTAAAAATAAACTCGAAGTTGATTATTTTTCGGATTTCAGCTAAAACTGGATAGTGCATATGAGACTTTGGAAATTTGACAATCCAGTTGTTATGGTAATCTACCATTTATTAACAAAAATGATTAGAAGATTGTCTCCATGAGCCTAATGGAGTCGCAATTCAAATCGACTCAGCTGAAAAGCCTAGCCAAAAGCCAAACGCTTTAGCCAACATGAAGCACGGAAGCAGTCGGCCCTTCGCCTTTAAGGCGACTACTCAGGAGTCCACCCAACTCCCAATCGAGACGATTCCCCCAGTGGCGACTCAGCTGTCTACCAAGTTGTCTGACTGGGCTGACGACTCACTTATCTAGTCAACAAGTTACGGGAATGACCCGTCTTCCAATTCAATTTTGCTGGGGAAGATAAAGATCCGAGTCATCCCACTGAGCTATTTCCAAGACATACATCAATCAACCACAATATTTGATCAGTCACATCAAAAGTCTCAAACTCTGACAAAGTCTTAAATGCAAAGACGACTCATTCTATTCCCAGGTCACTTCTGGGACGTAATCAAGACACCCTCTGAGCTCAGACGACCTTTTCTCCAGTCGCCAGCTGCCATCTGTGAAGCAATAAGTAGCTAGATCGGTCAGCCTATCTTCCCTTTATCCTTATCCGTCAAACCTGGGATGTTATCGAGGCGCCTTCTGTATTCGAGTATCTCACCCTCCAATCACTAACCGCCATATGTAAAGATAAGGACGACTCAGCACCTCGTCGTATTCTCGGCCATACGCCATCTAATCAATCCTGGGGCCTTATTGAGATCATCTCGAAATAGTATCTCCTCCAGTCGCCAGCCGACACGTGAAAGGACTACTGCTGACTCAGCCTCCAGCTCATCCCCCACCCACGTCCTCAGACCCCTGATGAAGCCATGTGTCTATCCTCAACAGCCTATAAAGAGGGAGGCAATGGATCCAGAGAAAAAGGGAGGAGGCGAATCCTTTTAGAGGAGGAGGGTCGAAGGTGGTGGGGGGGGGGGGGGGGAGGCTTTTTTGGGACTCAGGTTCTATGAACTCAAAAAACTAAGAAGTCATTCTTTTCTTCAATTTGCTTCTAAATTTTAAAATGAGAAGGTACCCTGCATGGACCTCAATGGCCCAGGGACTCTCCCCAAAACCTCCCTCAAACTCATCCTCTAACTTGACCGTTGGAGGTACCACGGGGAAACACGCCCCGTACCCCGACGTTCCTTGTGTGTGCAGGCCATCAGTCCACCCCGTATGCTCAGAGCTAGGCATAAAGTCGGAGGTGGAGTCGGCCCCTTTATCCTTTATCATCCTTCCTCGGCAGACAACCTCACCCTCATCAACTGTTTGTTCACGAGCATCAACAGTTTGGCGCCCACCGTGGGGCCCATTTTCTTTTCTGAGAAGAAATGCTCAATTTTGAGCAGGGGCCTGATCCAGTTTATCCTTACACTACTGGAATTGCATCACTCAAGCTAAGCGAAGCCTAAAATCGCATCACTCAAGCTAAGGAGGAGTAGCCTATGGCTATGAGGAGCCAGAAGTAGGCGTAGCCCTCTGGGGCTCCATCGGCTTTCTGTGGAGTATTTGCCAAGTAGAACCCCGAAAGCCCTCCTGAAGAAGATGTAACACTAAAGTGCTCGTCTGGCTTGAACATGAAGCGTAGGCTTCCTACGGCCGGATAAGAACTCCATCTTCTGGACAGCCTAGAAACCTGGAGTTAGATCACAAGAAGAGCCCTTCCTCCACCAAAGGTTACGATCAGATCCAGAATGACACCAGCTCAACGTCACGCCAACCCATTTGGGCCCAGGAGCAGCCATCAAATCTGTGGCGAGCCACCCGGACCACCACCGCCTTCATAGAGGAAGTCCTTTCTCACCCAGCGTGAGAAAGCGGGAAGAACTCAAGGGCTCGCCATCTGGTCTTCTCAGGAAGATTAATGGCCTTGGCCCCTAGTCGCTGCTCAGAACCGCCAGAGTCAAAGTAAAACCTGGTGGTCGAAGCATGTGACTTGCACTCTCCCTGTAAGAAGGCTCCTCCATTTATAGGATGGTTCGGCCGTCGCTATCCCTGGAAACCTCAAGAGGAAAAATACGATCCCATCAAATTCCGGGGAACAAAGCGTCGACATATAGGGTTCTCTCCAACAAGAAGCCCCCATCACAGAAGTTGCCTGGCCCCCCTCCATCGAGCAACATCTTCCAAAAAGCTCAAACAACGGAATATCGGGCCTAATAGAGCAACCGACAGTGGACAAGCAATATCTGTTGAAAATTACCATGTCCACCGTCGACCTGCAAGGATCTTAGCAAAGCCTCCAAGCAGGTCCTTGGCCGATGAGATGACAAATATGTCAGTAACTCAACAACGCCTAAAAAGCCAAACGGCTCACCATCAAGAGAAAGAGCAAACCCCGGCTCCGGGCGTACCTCAGTTCGGCAAATAAGGGTAGCTAATAAAGCAACGGCTCGCTCTCGTCAAGGTAGGAACCTTTACAAGAAAAAAGAAACAGTCAAGGAAGATCAGCCTCGGTAATCTAGTCCCTAGCAAAAAGTCATCCTCAAAAAGCATCTGAGTAAAAAGTACGAATTCAGCATCATCCGAAGTTGCGAGTATGAATCTATTGTACTCTATTGTGTATAAATTTCAAACAGTCAATGAAAGCTAAAAAAAAGTCGATCTTAAAGTCCTTGGCTCCTGATCAGGAATAAGCCCAAGGCATGACGCCATTCTAAGTCGATCTCAAAGTCCTTGTCTTCTGATCAGGAATAAGCCTAAGGCACGATGCCATTCTAAGTCGATCTCAAAGTCCTTGTCTCCTGATCAGGAATAAGCCCAAGGCACGACGCCATTCTAAGTTGATCTCAAAGCCCTTAGTACCTGCTCAGGATAAAACCAATGCACAACCCTTTGGTCGACTCCAACCGTCGCCTCTCGGCCCAAGGGGAAATGGAAGACCTAGTCTCCTAGGCACCCTACTTCTCAGTCGGTACAAAGACCTTGGTGCAGCCTCAGGGAAGACCCAAGGCATAACGACTTCTCAGTCGGAACAAAGATCTTGGTGTCGCCTCAGGGAAGGCCCAAGGCACAGTGACTTCTCAGTCGGAATAAAACCCTTGGCTCTTCTTAAAGGTAAGCCCAAGGCACAACATATGGTTTGATTTTGTCTGCTCTCATCAACCATTATGGTCAAGACCTTGGTGCCTCCTACGGGTAAACCCAAGGCACAACGACTTCTCAGTCGGAACAAAACCCCTGGCTCTACTTAAAGGTAAGCTCAAGGCACAACATATGGTTTGATTCTGTCTGCTCTCATCAACCATTATGGTCAAGACCTTGGTTCCTCATACGGGTAAACCCAAGGCACAACGACTTCTCAGTCGGTACCAAGTTCTTGGTTCTTAGAGTTAAGACCAAGGCATAACGATTCCTCAGTCGCTACAAAGACCTTGGTGCCGCCTCAGGGAAGGCCCAAGGCATAACGACTTCTCAGTCGGAACAAAGACCTTGGTGTTGCCTTAGGGAAGGCCTAAGGCACAACGACTCCTCAGTCGGTACAAAGACCTTGGCGCCGTCTCAGGGAAGGCCCAAGGCATAACGACTCCTCAGTTGGTACAAAGACCTTAATGCCGCCTCCGGGAAGGCCCAAGGCACAAAAACTTCTCAGTCGGTCATTTAGTTCAAACTCCTCAGTAAGAATAAATCCGAAGTATGGTGCCTCGGCCGGTCATTAAAGCCTGAGTTTCCTTACTTAGACGAGCTCGAGACAAAGCGCCGAATACAACCTCTATGCTTCTCGACTAAACAAAGAAGCAAGGACGCTGATGCCTATGGTCTATAAAGGCCGACATGATTCTTAAAGAAGAGAACCAGGCCGAATTATAATAATGGCAGGGTCACAAGTCTCAGCAGACAGTTTGTAATTCTCAGAAACAAATGATAAGAAAAATCACTTTCTATTCAAAATATGTTTTTACAAAAGAGGCCCAACGGGGCTTACAAAAAGAAGAAAAGAAGAAAAAAGCAAAATTGGATCCGACTACTGAACCTCCTGAGTGGCAG